TCAGCGCTCTCTCCCAGCCTCTGCCTCTGCTGCTCTGCTGCTCTGCCAAGAGGCCAGAGCCAAAAGAGCTTGCAGTGGCAGAGCACGGCCTTATCAGTCCCTCAGGCCGGTGGCCCTGCCTGTCTGCTTCCTCCTGGCTCCCCTAGCCTCTCTGGCCCCACCCCCTTCCTCTCTGCTGCTCCTGGCCCTCTGCTCCCCTGCCCAGCTCCTACCTTGCCTTCACCAGTCCCCTGGCCACTCAGCGCTCTCTCCCAGCCTCTGCCTCTGCTGCTCTGCTGCTCTGCCAAGAGGCCAGAGGACTGAACAGGATCAGTCTCAGGGACAGATCAGTCCCTGGGGGACACCACTCAACACTGGCTGCCATCCCAATGATTCCCTGCTAATAGCTTCCCTCTGCCTTTTGTCCGTCAGCCATGCTCTTATCCATCAGACAGTGTATCTGTCTATGCCCAATCTTCTCAATTTCTCAACTAGGATATCATGGGGCACTTTGTCAAAGGCCTTGCTGAAATCCAGGTAAACCACATCCACCGTGCCCCCACCCCCATCTAGCCAACTCAAAACCTTGTCATACAATTCTACAAGGTTCATTTGGCAGAGCCTTTTTTTTTTTTTTTTTGTGGAAGTCGTATTGTGCGGCTGCCAACCTCCCTTCCCTATCTAGGGTTACTAGATCTATCCCTATTATGAGCCTTTCCATTGTTTTGCCCAGAATGAAGCTAAGACTAACTGGCCAGCAATTTCCCATGCCCCCTCTACTACCCTTTATGAAATCTGATTGGCCTTGGTGGGCAAACAGAAGTATATTCAATCCAGCATGACTTGGTTTGATCCAATATGGCTTTATGGTTTTATGACTACAGGATGTCCCTGCATTACAAAAGAATTCCTTTCCTGAGGAGACAGAAAATTGTCTTTAAGTAGAATTTGTATGTAAGTCAGATCACATATAGTTGGCCCTCCACATTTGCAGGGGTTGGGAGTGCAGGACAACTGTGAAAGCGGAAAAACCCCTGCCACGTAAACTTAATAGCACCTGCTCTTTGCAGCAAGGAAATTTCAGAATGGTTGTGGCAGAAAGGCATGTTTTAGAGGCCTCCCTTTCACTTCCTCTGTATGGAGAGGCTTTGAAGGCCTTCCATCCCTCCCTTTCACTTCCTCTCTCTCTCTATGGTGATGACAATTTTAAGCAGAATTTTTTTAAATTGATAGGCTTTATGGCAGTTCGGTCATAAGTACAGGTTGTTCATAACTAAGACATTCATAACGCAGGGAATGCCTGTAATTTATTGAATGAAAAATTCAAGACAATAAATAAGACATAAGACAAAATATTTTACTGAACAAAGTTCTGAAATACTTCAACCATCAATTACAATGGAAATTAATGACTACAGAGTGTTGGTAACCTGATGCACGTAGACCATTACTCTTCAGGACAAAAAAAGTAAGTTAGTTTGAATTAAATTCTTGGATTAAATTGGACTGGATTAAATTCTTCAGTGAAGTCAGTACTGGGATAGGGATTATTAACAGGTCTGTGCAAATATGTGATTTACACACCTGCATTCCCTGATAAGTACAAGCATCTGAAAAGTAAAGCCAAAAAAGATGCATCGAGAATCTACTGATACTCTTAATATCAATAACTGTTACATTGTAGCAGAGCTGATACATAGGTTCCTTTTAAAAAACAAACCTAAACCCTTATACCTAATAGTATCAAGGGTCTTCCTATAAAGGCAATCAACAACCCAATGAATTGCTTAGAGACAGATTATTTCATCCTACCTTCTTCCTAACACTTGTATTAGGCAAACTCTGAGAACTCACATATTACACTTTTCAGTATGCCTTAGAATAAGTAAGGTGGGCACTTTGTCAGGCTGAAAGTAAATCTTGGTTTTTCATAGGTTAGGAACTGCAACTCTACAGTTTGTTTATTACATGAAAATATATGATAAATAGAAAAATGATAAGCAGTCAATAGAAGAAGCAAAGAATAATACTTATATGGATAATCCAGTAGAACTAAGAATTAACTTATTATATACAAATTTACTCATTCAAAATGGACCTGAAATGAACCATGTAGCTCATGTAGGGAATTGGGTAGAGCAGTACACCCTGCTCTCAGTCTGCCATCCATAGTGCACCCATTTCTGCTGCTGCTTTCACTGCACCCATCTTCTCAGCTGCCCATCTCCTTACCAGCCAGTCCACTGTGAATCACCACCCAGTTGCTTTTGCCACTGTGGGAAAGCAATCAATGGCACTCTTATGGGCTCTTCAGAGTGCCTACCCCTTGGCTTGCTGTGTAAGCAAGGGGGCCCTAGAAAATGCCTGTGCTGTGGCCTCTTTTTCATGATGACAGTGAATCCTTTAAAAAGGGTATTTTAAAAAGCAAAAACAGTGTGGGCACTTGCTGGGCCATCTCACTGAGAGTATCATACTCTGAAGAACTCCTTTTTCAGAATGCAGTAGTCCCCTGAAAAACCTGGTATTGCCATGCTGCTAACGTTAACAAGGCAAGGTGGTGGCAATGGCAGGGTTTGGGGGGTTGGGGGTTGGGTCTGCTTCAGGAGGAAAATGTCCTGTGTCCTTCTGAGCTATGCTGTGACTGTCCCATTACTTCCCACATCTGGAAAGCATCCAGGTTCTTGCCCCAGTTAGTCTACATATATAAGCTGGTCTGCCTGAGCCATGTAAAAGGGTTGCAGCAGGGGGCAGGTCCTTAAAATTAAGGCTACACACAATAGCAGGAAAAAAAAATGACATGACCTTGTGGCACTTGCATTAAAACATTAGTTGTTGGGTCTGGGTGTCAGTGCTTATTAATTTAATGATGATAATCTCCCTCACTGAAAAATTCCCTAGCTGGCATTTCATAGCCAATCCCAGTGAAACCTATAACAGTACTGGCAGTAAATAATTTATCAATATCACTGGGCATACTATAAAAATATGTGGCCATGGCTGAACGAACTAGTTTATTTTCCTGTAATTTATTTAATATATTTCTATACTGCTAGCCACCAAGTATTAAAACAAATAGAATAGCAATTATATAACATAACACAAGCAAAGAAACCCAAACAGCACAGCAAAACAGAACAAAACAGGAAAGAGCAGTAATAAATTCAAAAGTCCAAATGAAACAACAAAGCTTCCATTTCTTTGCGAAAAGCCAGCAGGAAGAATGATGTATAAGAGTCCCTAAGGAGAGATTTTCACGGCCTCAGGCCTGCTACAAGACTACCTTGTTCCTTGTGGGGGCTAAATTCACTTCCCTATTAGATAGAAACTAAAGCAAAGTCAGGTAAAATCTTAGAACATTTAGGACACTAAAAGTTTAAAAACTAGCACTCTGAAATGGGTCATCAAACAGTGTAGCCAGTGCAAATGCTTCAAAATACGTATCATAGAATCTTGAAGAGATCTTGACCTTCCTCTTTGTGACAGCCTTGGAGGTATTTATACAGGGATTCATGTCCCCCCTCAGTCTTCTTTTCTCAAGGCTGAACATGCCCAGTTCTCTCAGTGTCTCCTCATAGGGCAGTGTTTCCAAACCCTGGGTCATTTTTGTTGCCTTCCTCTGGACCCTGTCTAATTTACCTGCATCTTTCTTAAACCTTGGTGCCTAGAACTGGACACAGTATTCCAGATGAGGTCTGACTAGTGTGGAGTATAGGGGGACTACTACTTCTCGTGATTTGGGAGTAATACTTCTATTAATGCATCCCAAAATAGCATTTGCCCTTTTTACAGCTGCATTGCTTTGTTGTCTCATATTTAACCTGTTGTCCACAATTAGTCTGAGATCTCTTTCTTTTTCCGCTTTGTTGAGCCACGTATTCCCCATCTTGTATCAATGCATTTGGTTTCTTTTTCCTGGGTGGAGGACTTGGCACTTGCCCTTACTGAATATCATTCTGTTGCTCTCAGCCCAGTGTTCAAGTTTATCAAGATGGCCCTGGATCTTCCACTTTGGCTAAGTCCACCACTGGAAAACAGAGAGTTGACCATTATCATTAATACTCTGGCAATTTTTAGATTAGGCTCTGGTATAGTTCCTATGTACATCACTGAATATAATTCTGCCTCTGAAGAAGGTTGAGAAACTTGCGCTGTTGCTATTGTTCCACCAGTTTTAATTGGCATTCTGATGAGCAAATTAGCAAAAACTGGACAAGATAGAAATACTATTAGGTAGATCCAAAATTAACTGCTAAATCAAACACAAAGAGTGCTAATCAGTGGTACCTTCTCAAATTGGATGGAGGTAACTAGCGGGGTTCCACAGGGTTCAGTCCTGGGCCCAGTGCTCTTCAACATCTTCATTAATGATTTAGATGAGGAAGTACAAGGAAAGATAATCAAATTTGCAGACGATAGAAAACTGGGTGGAATAGCAAACACCCTAGAGGATGAAATGAAGATCCAGGGCCATCTTGATAAACTTGAACACTGGGCCGAGAGCAACAGAATGATATTCAGTAAGGGCAAGTGCCAAGTCCTCCACCCAGGAAAAAGAAACCAAATGCATTGATACAAGATGGGGAATACGTGGCTCAACAAAGCGGAAAAAGAAAGAGATCTCAGACTAATTGTGGACAACAGGTTAAATGTGAGACAACAAAGCAATGCAGCTGTAAAAAGGGCAAATGCTATTTTGGGATGCATTAATAGAAGTATTACTCCCAAATCACGAGAAGTAGTAGTCCCCCTATACTCTACACTAGTCAGACCTCATCTGGAATACTGTGTCCAGTTCTAGGCACCAAGGTTTAAGAAAGATTCAGAAAAATAAGAGAGTCCAGAGGAGGGCAACAAAAATGATCCAAGGTTTGGAAATACAGCCCTATGAGGAGAGATGGAGAGAACTGGGCATGTTCAGCCTCGAGAAGAGAAGACTGAGGGGGGACATGATATCCCTGTATAAGCACCTCCAAGGCTGTCACAAAGAGAAAGGTCAAGATCTGTTCTTGCTGATGACACAGTGTAGGACACAGAATAATAATCAGTTCAGGCTGTGACAACCCACATTTAGGCTAGATTTATCTGGAAAAGCTTCCTCACTGACACAGCAATACAGCAGTGGAACCAGCTGCCTAGAGAGATGGTGGGCTCTCCCACAGTAGAGACATTCAAATAGAAACTGGACAGCCACCTGAGTAGGATGGTATAAACTGGTGTCCTGCAACAGCAGGAGGTTGGACCCAATGGCCTTCAGGTCTCTTCCAACTCTACTGTTCTATGATTCTATATGGTGCCATCTCAAAATGTGAAAATTGTAAGTACATCTATGACACATGCCCTGACTACATATCCAGATGAGAAAAACCAAACCAAAAACTGGTCAGACTGAAACCAAATTGCTCATCCATGATTACTTGATATACTTTAACAGCACAATTCCTTACTTACTTTCAGTAATAATTCTAGAACCATAATCAACCATATACAAATGAAGTTTAAATAATGTCAGATTAAGGAATCTGGCTGCTAGCTAGATCTTCCTTCAAGATACTTCATGAGAAGGGGCATTTTGCCCTACAGACAAATGACAATCATGCCAACATTCTAACACATCACCATCCTTTATATCAAAGAGTCCAAAAACAATCTATTTTAGAATAACACTGTCAACATCATGGCATACTAAGAAAATTCAGCATTTGAAAAGGTAATTTGCCAAAGTCATGTTTAGCAATGATTAACGTGCAATATTCTGAACAAACATATTTGCTTTCAAAAACATTATATGGATGAGAGTTGCATACCTGATATAAATATACATTATTTGATTACTGCAGCAGGTATTGTGAATAGACTGCAGGGTTTTTTAATGTTAAGAAGCAAAACCACATCAACCTTTTTGAATCAATATTAATATCAAGGTCGTCTTACCATGTATGCGCCACTGTAAAACGTCGCCGTTGACGGATGCTTTTATTCACCAGCAACTTTCTGAAAAAGCATGGGGAGTTCCTTGGAGAACTGCGGGGGGAAATTTTTGGAGAGGTGGGCTTGTTTCCCAGCACTCTGGGAATCTCGAGTTCTAAATGCATTTGTTCTTTGAATGTCTTTATGTAAATCTCTGTCTCTGGAGCAGCAAGTTCCTTAGAAGACTCTTTTGCTGTCATAGCTTGAATGTTATGCTAGCTTTCACCATTAGGAAAACATAACAATAACACAGCCCAGAGACGTTGTTGGAGATTCAGATGCTAATAAATCTGCATGCTCTGTGCCCCTCATTCCTGGAGTTTCAGTCTGAATGAAAACACTGCCTAAAGCAACAGCAGCATAATCGAAGAACAGATAAGCCAATCCTGTCAGAATGAGCTTTATCAGTCCTGGCTTTCCCTCTGAAAATGCGCCAAAGTGCTTTCTGTGTCAGTAGCCTCCTTGTGGATGTGGTTTGTCTGCAAGCTACATGGTGTGACACTCGCTGAATTCATTCAGCCGCATATATCAGCTCATGAAAAATGCATAAAGACACCCCCATCAGTACTTTCCCTTATAGTATTAGGATTAAAATACCTGATTAACACTAATTTCTGGTTTTCTCTCCCTGATTACTGAAAAATGGTACAATTTCCTTTTGTATTCTAAGATCCACAGAAGATGGTTAAATTAATCCAGCATATCTTACATAAAGAGGTTTTCATTCATAATTATCTGCTCAGAGCCCACACAGTGGTTGCTCCACCTACAACATGCTTTATTGGTTCAACTTATTTTGACAAGTGAAGGCTTGTTAGTCCTTCCTTATACTATACATAAGGGGAAGTGCTGCACTATCATTCTGACAGCTTCAAAACAGATCTTAAACATAGGTCAAGAGACTCAAGTTTTAGCATTTCTAAACAGAGGTAAGGCTGAGGTGAGTACTATTTGAATAATGTGAAATAAATATATTCAGTCAAAGGCTGTGTGGTGAGTATACAACAATTTAGCACATTCCAAACACCTGTGATTGGAAAAAAAATAGCAACTTGACTAATTAGCGACAGCTGTGCTAAACATGTTTTTTAAAAAGTTTGAGAGCATGTTTGGAAATAGCCATCACTGCTGCTCTGGAAAGCAGTAAGATCTGGAAAGCAATAAGATCTAAGTGAGATCTAATGAACTTTTCTTTTATGACTAAATAAATCCTGGGCCCTTAAATGTGAACTAGTATTAAATGATCACTATGAATTATTAACTAGAGGGAAGCAGCCGATATCAGACCTTCTAAAATCATACAGATTGTGGCTAAAAATTTTGTTAAAAGAGAACAAAGCAGCCAGTGATGAATGTGTTTCCAGATACGTGCTTCCAATCAAAAATGATTGTGTAGCTATGCCACCTTTCCACCTTAGAATATTTTTTTTTATTTTTATTGAAGAAAAATTATGGAGAGGAGAAACACAAATGGAAGTTAATGACATCCAGACCTATACATTTTCTGAATGAGGCAAGTTGATTGCACAGTAAAAGGCTGATCTGGAAGTACCTCACTCCAGTTGCTTCTTACATTTCGTATTTCTGCTTTAATAGAAATGTTATTCCAATAGAATTGGTCACCATCCTTTACATCATTATGTGCAGCCATTAAATTTTCTCTTGGATTTTAGTTGTAACTGGATTGCTTTCTTGCAACAGAAGAATTGTGCTCATATTTAGTTGTAACTAACTTTAGTTAGTTGCATTTAGTTGCATTTAAATGGATTTATATCATGATTTTAATCAAGGGCAGCATGTTTTGCCATCTGGAGAGTAAGGGATACCTGTAAGTGATGGGGTTCAGATTTCTGCACATTGTTACCCAACAAATAATTGAAACTTTCATGGTACAAACTAGTTGAAGGGTGGTTCTATTCTACCTGATGAGAAAGTTGTAGATGTTTTCAGATTCAGATGTGCAATTCAGAACTTATGCTGTGAGTTAATATGCTATAGGTAGACTCTTCCTTAGCAGACTATAGCTATTAACCTTTTTGTTATTTGTTTAAAAGATGTGTATAGTGCCTTTCATTCAATAATTTCATACTGGGAGGCAGCAAATATATAATAGAATACAAATATATACAATAAAACATTAAAAATAAAATGTGGCAGCAACTGAAACAGACAGCAGCCATTCCTACACTAAATTTCTAGGAAAATTAAAATACTTGAACCTGATATGGAGCCCCATGTTGTGAACCTGCTTATTCTCTAGACCTGGGGATACACTGTGTGCTTCTGTACTGACAGAATTTAATAGCAATTTGTTGGGTTTCATCCAGCACATTATCAAGGCAACAGCTGAGCAGTGGCACAGCATTAATGGACTCAAATAATAATGAAAAATAGAGATAATACCATAGTTAAGAACATTAAATGCTGCTGAGGAATCAGTTAGAATCAATAGGATCAAACTCTCCATTACTTTTTTGACAGGGTATCTATACTAATGAACTGATGTGGACCCACTTAGATGTTATGGTGCCAACCTTAATAGAATTTATTTTAACCTGTTTCTGAATGCATATACACAGAATCAGACCACACCTCCCAATCTACCACAATCACAACAGGTTTTTTTTTCTGTAAGCCACACAGAAACAATGAGGACTTGCAGAAAAATACAAACATACAGAAGAAACCACACAAAGTTATTTTCAGCAATTATACTACATTGCTGCATGGACAAAAAGAACTTCTAAACAAAAATGAAATACAGTATGAAAATATTTTAGGATTACAGAATAGTAAAGTTAGAAGGGGCCAATAAGACAGGCCATCACATCCAACAACCAGCTTAATGCAGGAGTCCAAGTTAAAGCTGCCCTAACAAATGACTGTCCAGCTGAATCTTGAATGCCTCCATTATGACCGAGGCCATGACCTCAGTAATTAATTGGATCCATTGTGGTATTGCTGTAACAGGAATTTTTTACCGATGTTCAGTTGAAATACAGCTTCCTATAACCTGAGCCTGTTGTTCTGTGATCTGCACTCTGGGATGATCAAGAAGAGATCCTGGCCCTGCACTGTGTGCCAATCTTTCAAGTATTTTGAGAATGCTCTCTCTCTCCTCACTCTTCTCAAGTCTTTTCTTGGAGGGGCTTTGTTTCCAGTTTCCTAATCATTATCATCCTCTGAAAACTTTCCAGTTTGTCTGTATCTTTAACTGACCTGAAAGTGTTCTATTAAGGTGGCCCAAAATAGCATGTTTCTTTTTTTGCAGCCACATCACATTGTTGACTCATATTCAGTTTCTGATCTACAACAATTCCAATGCTGGAAAGAACTAGGCATTTGTCCTTATTAATTTTCATTCTGTTGCTTTCAGCCCAGCACTCCAACCTATCATGATCACTTTGAATTTTATTTCTGTCTTCCAGCTATCCCACCCAATTTTCTGCCATCTGCAAATCTGATAAGCATTTGCTGCACCTCCTCAGCCAAATCATTTTTAAAAATCCGAAGATCACTCAGCCCAAGACTCTGCAGTATCCCACTCATTACCATTCCCCAGTTTGAGAAAGCACCATTGATATGTACTGTTTGAGTCAACTTCTGTAGCCAAATGTGGATCCACCTGAAAGTTGTTCAGTTTAGCTAGTTTGGTAATGAGAATATTATGGGGCACTTTGTCAAAAGCTTTATTGAATTCAAGATATATGATGTCCACAGTATTCCCACTGTCCACCAGGGAGGTTACCTGATCAAAACTTGGGAACTGATTACTTTGGCAGAACTTGCTTTTTACAAATCCCTTTCTCCTTTATTATTCTAGGATGCTGTTCATTGGGCCCTAGAAATCTGACCTTGTCCAAATAATGAGGTATTCCTTGACTATTTGCCTTTTGATCTCAAGTGGTAATCTCCCTCTTCATTTTACACTTCACCTTTGCTACGGAGGTCATATATCCTCTTTTGAAAGAAAACTTAGCCAAACTAGGAGAGCCTTCCTGACTTTTCTTTATCCTGTGTTATCATTTTTCCATCCTTGCTGCGTAGCTGAACCACAATTTTCC